TCTTTTACTTTTCCAAGAGGGTAGTGTACTAGGGGAGAGGAGTTGGAAGGGGAGAAAAGTGCAACAATGACTGGAAATCCAAAGTCTGTAAATTTGAAATTAATAAAATAAAAGAGGGACATTAATAACATGACAGAGTGACTGTGCCACGGGGTTCAAGCTCATGAGGAGTCACGCAGCCAGAGCAGGACAGCACGAGGTTCAGATGTGCTGGTCAGAGTGGCCTTGAGTCCAAGTCAACGCGACAGCACAGAACCACAACTGTGCTTTCCAGGCTTACGTCTCCTGGGAGGCAAATGTCTGTCTTTCTCTTGAGGAGCAGCTGGTGGATTTGAACGCCCACGTTCTGGTGAAATGCCCAAGGCATTACGCAGCAGGCCACCTACCAGTGTATATTTACCTTGTATCACCAAGTCTGACCCCACTGTTCAGTTCTGTTGAGTCTCCATGCACATAAGCAAGAGTTCTACCTTACAGAGGTTCTGTGAGCCCAAATGGACTCAATCAGCTGAGTTTATGGCTCAGAGGTGCAAAAACCCCAGTTTCCTAAATGTAGGGGCTGAAACCCTGTGAAATTCTTAAGTCTGCCAAGAACAGGACATTAATGCAAAGATGAAAGCCCTTTTCCACCGATGTGTTGAATAAACTATGTCACACCTCATATCTCAGGAGTAAAGACTAAATGCCTATTTTAGATACGAGCCCAGGTCCCCAACTGCCAAGCTCTCAAAGCCATTTTTTTGGTGTGGGGTTTTTTCCCTCCCTCTGTTGTGCTGCTGTGGTATAACTGAAAGGCCCTGGTCACAGACCCAAACCTCCCCAAACACCTGTTCTCACTCTTATCCACATCCAATGTATTTTTCAAAGTTATCACACACACAATCTTCAAGCAACCCCACAAAGTGGGTCCAGGTAGCTCAGAACTGCTGACACAGAGGCAAGCCTGGGGCTGTGAACTTCTGCCCACTGTACACCCAACAGATACAAAGCAACCCCACACTTCCTGCTTAGCATCCACTTGGACACCATCTGCCTGAATGCACATCCAAGGTCCCATAGGCTGGTTTTTTCTGCTTTTAAAGGGAAAGCAGGTCTCTGGTTATTTATTACTTCCTCCTAATGGTTTTAGAAAGCTCACCCCAAACTTCCTGCAACACAGGCTCCCTGGAGGGGTGCAGGGAGGAACAGCAGAGGAGCAGCTCTGAGCACCTGCTTTCCCGTTCTGGGCAGCGGGTGGTGCAAGCAGAGCCTTGGGGGGCCGGTGGGTGGTCAGCGGGCATAGTAGGGCACACCCGGCTCCTTCCCCACTTGTCCCTCTCAGCTGCAGCCATGCTGCCCCCATTGCTCCAGCCTCTGCCAGCAACTCCAGAAGCCTGACAGCATCTGCACCAACGAGGAGGACTGGAGCGGGTCCTGGGAGGGTTTGAGGTTGTTGTGGGGTTTTTGAAGTCCAAGTTTACAAATCACACTGTGGAAAATGTGAGGCACAGGGATTCATAATAACAAATGGGCGCTACTCTGCAGTGTGCATAAAAATATTACTACCATCAATTGTTAAAGACGCTGAGTGGATCTGGAAGTGTTTCTGGAACCTTTTCATGCATAGAAAAGTACACTCTAGATGACTGACAATCTGGATCAACAGGGAAAAGAAGAACAAGAAAATCACCAATCTGGAACAAAAAGTGCATTACAAAGTGGACTAGGGGAGAGGGAAGAGAAGAGGAGGGAGGGAAATGTGTGGAACAGTGAGTGAATGAATGAAAACTCAACCTTTCTGTAAACTTTCATTTGAAATTACAGGGTTGTTTTTAAGTACACTATATACTAAGAAAAACGTCTGACAGTGCACACTATAGCTGTTCTGACAATAATTATGAAAGTAAGGCAAAACAACAAAGTGTCATCAGCCCGACCAATGGACAACAGGGTCACGCGAAGAGACCCTTGTCTCTTTAATCAAGGATTGCCTGTCTCAGTAATCCTAAACAATGCTCAAAGGGTCAGAAAGGCTGGCTGCTATATCATCAAGCATCAATCCAACAAGCCAGAGCCAGGATTGACAAGTTAAAGAACGTCTGACCCAAATCTCAAACCACCAACAAACTTGAAAGTAGCTGATATGTTGTTGATGATTAAATGATTCGAGCTTCTTCTCTTCTGAAAATGAGATCCACTAATGGGACCTCTGCTGGCCTATGGTGAGGAGCTGCACTCCTAATTCCAAGGCAGACGGTTCAAATCCACCAGTTGCTCCACTGACGACAAGCTCCTTTTTTGGCCTTGACAGCCTCTACCAGCCCACTGGGGGTCAGCTAGGAGTCAGTTCCAGCTCCACTGCAAATTACAAACATCATACGGTGTCAAACTGACAACACTGTTGCTACGTGCCATCAAGTTACCTGCAGCTCAGATGAATCCTCAGAGCAAGGGCTCACAAACTCGCCCTCTCCTGTGCCAACCTCACCAGCTCCAGGGCACCTGGGCCATGGCTAGTCGCTGTGTCAAGGAGCTGTGCTGCCAACCCAAAGGCGTAAGATTCAAACCCTCCAGCTGCTTCACGGTAGAAAGAGGAGCCATCTCTTCCTGTGCAATGAACAGCAGCCTCATAAACCTGTGTGAGGGCCAGCTCCGAGTCCCTTCTGACAACTCAGGATCAAAATGATGACAGGAAGTCAAAGGCTTACAGGCGTGAATGTCAGGGGCCATGCGTCGATGTTAATGTGAGTGTGGCAATTTGGGAAAACGAGGACAAGTAATCCGCTGTCACGGAACCAAACTGCTGAGATGAATATATATATACAAAAATTAAATTTAAAAAATTAAAAGACATTAATACTCTTGAGTATAGCTCTTAGGAGGTCACCATAGAAACACCTGGACACAGAAATGCATCAGATCAGATGGTTTTTATGGAAAGACCGCAGGAGAGAGAGGACTGAGGATGGAGATGGCCCACTGGGCGGATCAGGCACACAGCTACGGCAGGCACACCTGAGCACTCCCACAGTGCACTGGGGGGAGGAGGCTGGCAGCTGGCACCCGGGAGCCCTGCCAGGCCTGGCAGAGCTGAATAAACCCAGGGGCTGGATCAAAACTGTTTCTAAGAATGTAAATTACTTACATTGCTGCAAAGTTGCAAATACACACACACATATTTTGTTGTTGCTGTTGACAGCCTTCCAGTCCATCATGATATGTAGCGACCCTGTGAACAAAAGGCCTGAAGCCCCTCTACAACTATCGACATTTATCAAAGGTCACAGAGTTTCTGGAAGCTTGTTGTTTAGGAAGTGGATGCCATTCCTGCTTAGATGCTAAAATGAAGTCCTGCTCTATTACTTTAATAGCGACACTCTGTCATATTTTGCAAGACACCCAGAACGAAACCTCCTTTTCGGAAGCTCATTATCTGGGTCATCTTCAGACTGTGCCAAGTTTCCCTTGGAGTCAATCAGAAGCCTTTGGAGGACAATCCTCAGTCTGGAGACAAGCAGGTCAAATGTCTTCATGCCAGAAATTCACAGAAATGATGGTAGGAGAGACTGTTTATGCCTTGCAAGCTTTTCATCTTCTTCCAACGATAAACTGTAGGAGCCATCAGAGTGCAGCCGTAATAGAAGTTCCTTCAGACCGTCCATGAAATACAGCATTCCAGGGCCAGCGGGAACATAAAACAGCTAAGTTCCCGGAAACACGAGTGAGTGAGTGATTCTGCACACGGGGTTCGATTCATTAGCTTAGCTACACATCAAATTTTACTATGATTTCTTTTTTGCTTTTTCAAGCCACACAACTCTTTATCCACAGAAATTCTTGATTCGAATTAGACAGAACAACTGTTCTGGAGGAAACTTCTAGACGCGGCAGTTAGTTTGGAACTGAGTTTTGAAGGTTGATGTGTTTGTTTGCTGTTCGTTTTGTACTGTGGAGCTAGA